GAGCCAGCTCCGCCGCCACCAGCAGGTAGTCCACGGCTGGAGCAGCGAGCAGGTGGAGAGGGCAGACAGGGAGGAAGATAATAATAATAAACCGGAAGCTCCTCGAACCAAAAAGCACAAGAAAACGGCCTCCAAGAAGGCAAAAGCCAAGCAAAGCGGAACTGCCCCTGCCTTTTCATCCGCTGCTTCGGACTATGCAGATGCTGCTGCTCTACTATCTTTAGGAGGCGGTAAACGTCTGGAACGAGCGAACGAGAAAAACAACCACAACAACAACGACGACGATCAAGACAACTTTGGTAAGCAAAATCGGTTCAAAGCTTAGCATTATCATCATCAGTTCTAACATCTGCCTTACATCTGCAGGTTTAGCGAGCCTCCGCTTAGGGGAAGAAGAGGCGGCAAACTTTTCCCAAAATGAGGTGGACAAGTCCGTCGGCAACTTCCCAGGCCAGCATCAGCCACCACCATCAGCCACCATTGAAGAGCAGCTGTCGGTGGTAGTGAGCACCAGTCAGGCGCTGAACGAGTTTCCCCTGCTCACTGACGGACTGATCCTCCGAGAAGAGCTGCTGCCAGTGATGGATGACAGTGGTGGTGTTCTGGTTGCTGCATCAACAGTTGGCCTGGTGCAGCAGCAGGTGGCCGTGCCAGTGGCGGTCACCAAGGAGGAGCTGTACAGCAGTGGTAGTAGTAGTAGCAGCAGCAGCAGCAGCGACAACAATGACGACAGTGATGATGACGGTGAGCCCGTGTTTCAGTCGCTGGAGCCGGTGGCGGTTGAAGGAGTGCCACTGCCACCACTGCCACCACCGCCGATGCCAACACCTCTTCAAGATGAAATAGTTAGTGAATTATCGGCTGCTGGTGATGGTGGTGATGCTTCTAGTCCTGCTTCTCCAACATTAGCAGCGTCAATGCCTGTGGAGAATAGTCCTTCAGCAGCAGCAGCAGCAATTCCTGTTGAGAATATTCTACCAGCAGCATTGGCAGCACCAATGCCCGTTGAGAATATTCTTCCAGCAGCATCGGCAGCACCAATGCCCGTTGAGAGTATTCTTCCAGCAACAGCACCAATGCCCGTTGAGAATATTCCACCTGCAGCATTGGCAGCACCAATGCATGTTGATAATATTCCTCCAGCAGCACCAATATCTGTCGAAAATATTTCTCTTGCAGCAGCACCAATGCCTGTAGAGAATATTCCTGCAGCAGCAGCAATTCCTGTTGAGAATATTCCTCCAGCAGCAGCAGCAGCAATGCCAAATTTTATTCAACAGCACCCAGCAGCTTCCGTTCCCACCGTTTTACCCTTTAAGCCTCTCTTTTCGTTGGCAGCTAATTCCCAGCCGATAGGCTTTCAAGCACTTCCACCATCGTCACTACTCTCTCCATCCTGCTCTTCCTGGAAGTCCGCCCTTTTGGCACTTCCCTCAAACATATCCGTCTACGCACAATCACCTGCGGTAATTGTCTATGGACCACCAGCACCACCTTCTTCTCCCGGAACTGTCTACTGTCCGCCCTTGATGATAGCGATGATGCCGCAGCAGCAGCCCCTTCAAAGTAGTACCACTTCCACGAACCCGAAGGACCACCTGCAACACTGGGGGGAACAACAACAACAGCAGTTTGCCGTCGGCCAGTTGGCCTTCTTCAATCCCACCGCTGTGCCCTCTTTTTGGGGTAATGTCAATGCTGTTCCATGGATGATAAACAGCACTGAAAATGGTGGTGGTGGTACACCGTTCGAACAGTGGCAGCAGATGTCCTCCACCGGGTCACCACCACCACTACCAACACCGCCCACTCCGTCGCCTTCACCATCACCCTCAGTTCTTCGTCTTTTGTCGCCATCAACTACGCCCGATCCATCGATCACTTCGGCCCCAGCTTCACCGATCATTTCAACTCCCGCTCCGCCGAACTTCACTCGAGCAGCAACAGAAGCAGCAGATGATGATGATAATGAGCCGTTTCCATCCGATCTCCCAGACGCTGCCACCAATAGTTGTGCTCAAGCGGAACAAAACTTCTTAATAGAAGATAGTCAGCAGCTGATAGAGCAGCAGCAGCAATTACAGGAAGAGGAAGAGGATGAAGAGTTTGTAAAAGAAAAGGAGGAGGAAGTTGTGGAGGAAGAGGAAATAGAAGAAGAAATGGAGATTATGGAAGATGAGATGGAGATCATGGAAGAGGAGATGATGATGGCAATGGCGCCCTTGTCACCTGCCCCACCTCTTCGACCGGAAATCAGCCTGAAAATGGCGGCCGTCTCCGAGGCCCACCACCAGCTTCTTCATCAGCCAGTCTCTTCGGCATCTATGATGATGGTTTCAGTTGGCGGAGGCGGCGGCTCAATGGCCTCTTTTTCTCAGTCCTACCGTTCTGCTTTTGAGGTTTCTTCCCCCTCTTCTTTGACGTTTGATTCGTCATTTTCTTCTTCAGTACTGGCTAATGATGGTGATGAGGTGCCTTTCTCCACATCGTCTGAAGCAGTCGTTCACTCCATCGAAGTACTTCCTCGGCCATGCACTTTTGCTTCTTTTTCTTTTACTTCTTCAGTCTCTAAGCACCAGTCTCCTCGACCTCAAGTTCTTCCACAACTGCAGCAACAGNCGTCATTTTCTTCTTCAGTACTGGCTAATGATGGTGATGAGGTGCCTTTCCCCACATCGTCTGAAGCAGTCGTTCACTCTTTCGAAGTACTTCCTCGGCCATGCACTTTTACTTCTGCCTTTACTCCTTCAGTCTCTAAGCTTCACTCTCCTCGACCTCAAATTCTTCCCCAGCAGCAACCAAAACCGGAGGAGTACCTTTCACTGAGCTCTCAGAGCAATGTCAAGGTGATAGCCACTCCGGGGGAGACTACACCTTCATCACCACCACCACTAACATCAGAACAGCGTCAAAATAATTGTTCCCAGCAGCAGCAGCAGTCCTCATCCTCCTCCTCAGTTACCAATGGCCATCATCACTATCAGCCGCCATCGAGTAATAACGGCTCAGCAAACTCCACTTCCGCCTCATCATCCTCATCATCAGCCACCANACTCGAGGACATCGATCACGAAAACAGACCCTCCCACCGATTGATGTGTCACCGCCGAATCTGCAGAATGAACTGCCTGATTCAGATGAAGCAGCTGAAGAGGTACCACCCCCACCACCACCTCAGCAGCCAATTTCATCACCACCGATTGCTTCCTCATCTTTGGCTGCATCAGCTCCACTTCCTCCTCCTTCATCTCAGAGCGAACCGACACTCTTACCTCCGGTGAACGCCCTCACCTGTGTCACCTTCTTCTGTCGCCACTGTCGACGCCTCCTCTCACTGCCCGGAGGCCAGGAGGCAGTGGACGCCCACCGAAACGCCCACCAAAATCAGCCCAGTGGTAGTGGTAACAGCACTGGCATCAGTCGCCTTCCGCGATACCTACCGAATGCTCTTGCGGCAAGTGGGGTTAAACGAACCAATGATGGGGCAGGAGTGGCAGGAGGAGTTGCTGTTGCCGTCGAAGTTGGTGTTGGGGAAGTTGGGAGTGGTGACAGTGGCGGTGAACGGGCGGCAAAGCGACAGGCTCGCCTGGAGCGTGAGGCGGAAGTGGCGCAGCGCTTTCCTCCCAGTCCGCCGAAGACGCGCCTGAAGAAGATGCTCGAGCTGGAGCCGAAGCGGCTGGAGGAGCTGCACCACGCCATTCAGATGAGGACGAGGAATAGTGGTGGTGGTGAAGGAGCATCGGCAGCTGAAGAAGCTCCAAATGACCAGCAGCAGCAAAACAATGACCAGCAAATGGAGGAGGATGAAGATGTGGTGGGAGATGTCGGTAATCATAACGATTACGATGAGGGTGATGGAAATGTTGAAGCCGTCGACCAGGAGTTCATGGAGGAAGAAGAGGCGGCGATGGAGTAAGGAGTAAAGAGTGGCCACTTGATGATTCACTTTTGGTCAGTAAATGGGAAGAAAAGGATGTTCAAAGCAATCATGTTAATAATAAACCCTTTTTTTATTGCAGGATTTCAACACTTTTTTTGCATAACCAACATCAAGTGCTCAAGTACTTCCTCTATATACAGCAATTTTTAGTCAGATTGCCATCTCTCTCTCTTTCTCTCTCTCTCAATTTTGCACCCCGTTTATTCCTCGCACTTTTATTTTATTTTTGCATTAAGTTTTACCCCCCCCCTCTTTTTACCCTCAACTACACCGCATGTGTTTCTTCATTTTGATTTACCCCTTTTTTACATTATACATCCCGACACTACAGGAATCTCATTTTTTATTTTTATATTTTCTACACCAACTTTTTTTTCTTCTCTCTCTCTTCTCTCTCACTCACTCTTCCTTATCCTTTTCCACCTTTTATTATTTTGCCGTTTTGTTTTCCACCTTTAATCCCTCTATCTGTCTATTTCCACTTTTACATTTCTATCTACATTCTCCACTATCTTTATCATTGCCATTTCTTTGCATATTCTTTGGACCAACTACGAAGCGTTGATGATGATAATGTTCGACCACCGTTCACCACAGTCCACAGCTCAGAGTCTTGCCGTTTGCCAAACCGTTTGCCGTTGTGTTTGTGTTGTTAGCAAGCGATATTTTTACGACTTTTTTTATATTTCAACTTCAAGTTCTTCCTTTTCTTTTGATTAATGACTTACCACCTTTCCACCTATTACACCTAAGCACACACACTCTCTCTCTCTCTCTCTCTCTCTCTCTCTCTCTCTCTCTCTCTCTCTCTTGTAAGTTTCCCTTTAATCTCTTTTTTAGCCAACCTCTTGATCTTGATCATTTACCCCAATCAGAAGGATCACCTTCGTTAGCCAGCCAGCACACCAAATCCCACTAAAACACTATAATTCGTTTGTTTAGTTAGTTAGTTAGTTATAGCACGTGTTGACAGCTTTTAAAAGCTACATAATAATATAAATAAATAAATAAAGATATCATATCAGTTTGTTGCATATCAAAAAGTGATGAAAGTGATGTATTAATTGTCACCACCACCATCACCACCATCACCGCCAAATGACACCTCCTTGTGGCGGTAGTAGGCGGCGGTGGTCTCCGTGAAGCGGCGCATCATCTTGGGGAACTCCTTCTTGTAGACAGTTCGAATGATGGGCAGGGGAATCCAGCCACCAGGGTTTGACTGGGCGTTGTAGTGGAATCGGGTGCGCAGCTGGTCTCGGCTAATTTTTTTTCCCGAAGAGCTCTTATTCTTATCCTTATCCTTATCAGCAACGATGTACGTCTCGGCAATCAGAGAGACGACAATGTCCAGGCGGATGCGCTTTCCCGACACCGAGGAGATCTCCTCATCGCGCGAGGTGGACTTGTTCACCACCATCCAGACGTCGTGCAGCTTCGAAGAGGATGATGACAGAAATGGGTCATCATCTTTCAACTCCTTCAGAACTCCCTCAATGGACTTCACCTGACGCTGGTCGGCCTGCCTGAAGGCGGACCAGAAGAGCGCCTCCCGCTCGCTGACCGTCCACACCGGACTTTCGTAGGCCTGGTGGAGAACTAGAGTGTTAGAGTTGACCGTTTCGAGGACCTTCACGAAGAGGATGTGCGACTCCCAGGTGGACCGGTGGTCGGGCGAGAAGAAGTAGGCGCACAGTTCGTGGGCGGTCACGCCGGGCACGGTGGCCACGGCTCGGATCGGGTCGCAGATGATGTTGGGCTTTGAGGAGGAGGAATCGGGCGAGGATGAAGATTCATGAAACTTCTGTCTGTACAGGGCCATCGGTACGACTCCCTTCCGGTCTTCGAAGAAGAGCTCCCAAGGTTTATTATCATTGGTTTGAGTTGCTGCATCAAGGTCGTAGGCGTAGGAGAGCTGCTCGGTGACTGTTTGCTTTATTTCCTCTTCAAGATTCAAGTTACTTTTTGCTAGATGTTGTTTAACAGTGGTGGGCGTGATCGTGGTTTCTGCCTCCACCTCGGCATTACCATTTTCATCTTTAGTTGATTCTTTAGGTTTTTTGTTGGTCATGATTTTCAGGTTAAAAACACGTTGTAAGCAAAAGCTTTGTAGTTGAAGAGGAAGAAGACAGAACGAAGGACAAGCAGTCACAGAGAGGGCAAAGTCAAGGCGAAAGTTGAGCAAATGCAAGTGCAAGTGCAAGTGCAAGAGCAGCGGACAGTGGCGGCGGCGGCGGCGACAAAAAAAATATGCGCGCAAAAAGTAAAATTTTGTATTGAGAGCAGCAGCAACCACAGCCACCTGTTGCTCCTCTGGCAGGTTACCTTCCGCAATGGCTCAGTTCAGCTCAGCTCAGCTCACNAAAAAAAATATGCGCGCAAAAAGTAAAATTTTGTATTGAGAGCAGCAGCAACCACAGCCACCTGTTGCTCCTCTGGCAGGTTACCTTCCGCAATGGCTCAGTTCAGCTCAGCTCAGCTCACTTCATCATCATCATCACCAAGTGCACATTAAAACATTAAAACATTGCTGGGCGAAAGAGCACAGGCAGAGTGAGCGCGTTGATGGGGATGGATGCTCTCTTCTTTTTTATGAGCGCTAGCTCTACATGAAAAACATTTTTTTTCTGCCTGAGAGTGTTTGTCTTTGGCATATGTTTGTGGCTGCTGTACTCAATTGGCCGGGATGAGGGGAGAAGCAGTGAAATAGGAGAGGGAGAGAGAGGATGATAGAGAAAAAAGGGCAAAACAGCACTGGTGAAACTGAGAGGAAAAAAGAGAAAGGAAAAAAACAGAAAAAAAATTATTGACAGTATGAGAAAACACAGTGTAAATGTTGCGTGACTTTAATCTACGATTGACTGCTGCTGCGTCAGTTATTAATGACGATGTGTGTGACTGTTTGTGTGCATATGCAAAAAAAATTGAGCAAAAGTGAACTGATGAACATGAGCTGGTAAACTGAGGGGAAAAATGATATCTGTTGGTGATAAAAAAAAGGCTCAGTGTACAGAGGTTACTGTTTGCCGTTTTTTTATCAAAAGTTTGTTGTGCTCTCTAAACTGGTGACCGGAAAACTGAACAAACGTTTTTAAAGCTGAAAAAAAGTTTGGAGTTTTGGCTAAAATGAAAATGAGATTTTTATTCACCAGTGCACTGGTGTGGTAGTAGTAGTGGAAGTAGAAACAAGTAATAAAGCGTTTATAAACAATAAATAAATTACTAAGTGGTAAGAGTGTTTGTAGGGGAAATGGCATATTTTTGGTTTTTAGTGAGAGTTGGCTAAAGAGTGTGAGACTGTTTTTCAATAGTAAAAAAAGTCAGAAATATCGGCAATAGTTGTACAGTGCTTCGTAAACAATGTTTTACACTAAACTCCCGCACACTACTACTACTTTCGATAGCCACCGTGATCATCATATCCGCCGTACTCCTCATGACCACCATAGGAGCTTCCATGATCATAACCTCCATGACCACCATAACCTCCATGACCACCTCCACCATAACCTCCATGACCGCCATATTCAGGCATAAAGTGGTGGTAGGTCTTGTACTCATAGGTTGGCTTGTGGTACGTCTTCTTCTTGCAGCCGCTCATGATGATGGTGTTTCCTTTGCCCTTTTTGCCTAAACGAAAAAGGTTAAAATTTAAAAAAATTAAAATAAAAAAGGTATTTACCTGTTTTGAGAATGATCGGTCCACAACCGCCTCCACCACCTCCATGACCATAACCTCCCCCATGACCTCCTCCGCCTCCTTTGCCACCGCCCAAAACGATGGTGTCGCCCTTCTTTCCGCCAGCTAGGGCCGGTTGGGACCAGCAGCAGAGGTGCACCAGCAGTGCACCAAGTAAAAGAAAGCAAATTTTAAAAACATTTTTTAACTTTGACATGATGATATGTGTTGAAAAATCACAAACACAAACACACACAAAACACTGAAACGCCGTTTGAAAGTGTCTTTTGCTAATAACTTGAGCTTTTTATAAGAAAAGTGACAGTTTGTTAGCAGGCTTCCTTGTTTACCCGATAGCTCGGGAAATAGCAGCAAAAAACCTGTAAGAAGGGGCTAACAAACTTTCTCTTTCTTTTACTCTCTCACTTTTACCTTTTTCACCTAAAAAGAGCTCCTTTATTGTTTGGCAGTAATTAGTGATCCACGTCCACTACAGACAAACAAACTGTCAGTACACCTTGATCAACCGAAAAATAAGTAATTTTCACTGTGTGTATTTAGTAGCCGTGTTTTAGTGTTTTAGTGCAGCAGCAGCAGCAGCAGCGAGTGCAACCAGTGCTTCATCATCATCATCGTTGTCGTCGTCGTACAAACACTTTGTACTAGTGTCGCACTTTGTTTCGCTAGTGTTACATAGAAGTGCTCTACAACAGCATGGCCGATAGCAGCAGCAGCAGTAATCCTTTGGCAGTAGTAGACAGCAACAACAGTATTAGGCAAATCACAGGAGATAAAAGAGCAGTGAAAGAACTAAATTAGTCGACTGGTTGCTGACAAATGGTTCGTCGCAGTAAGACTGCTCACTCATGCGACATCTCTCCGCACTATCTTCTCAAAGACCACTTACCTTACCTTCTGCTCTGAACAGGAGCGGAAAAAAATGTACCTTTTTTCTGACTAATAACTTGGGTGATTTTTGTTGTTGTTGTTGAAGTTTGCACCAAGGCATACTGTGGTAAAAAGACAAAATCTGCTTGATTGGTCGGGTAATTAGTCACTCGGACAGGTGAGCTGTGGTTTTTGGCTCTTTTTGCTTTGGTTTTCCGAGTCTTTTTCCTCTTCCTCTTCGTGCTAACAGAAAGTAATTTAGCTTTTTCTGCTGTTTTTCCTTCTTCTCGTTATGGCTTAATTTGCTGTTCAGTTTTGCTGCCTATCTGATTTGTTTTGCTGCTGTTTTCCGCTTGGATTCATATTTCACAGGGGTTATTAAGTACTGTGGTAATTAACACTGAATTTATCTAGTTGTTGGTTTTTGAAGTAATTGATAAG